GAGGGAGGGAGGGAGGAGGAAACAAGGGAGGGAGGGAAAAGAAAATGAATGAATAAACGAATGAATGAGGCAGGAAGGAAGGAATGGAGGGAGGAAGCAAGGAAGGAAAGAATGAAAGAAACAAAGAAAAGGGAGGGAGGGAGGGAGGCAGAGAGAGAGAGAGAGAGAGAGAAAGAAAGAAAGAAAGAAAGAAAGAAAGAAAGAAAGAAAGAAAGAAAGAAAGAAAGAAAGAAAGAAAGAAAGAAAGAAAGAAAGAGGCAGGGAGGGAAGGAGGGAGGGAGGAAGGAAGGGAGGAAGGAAAGAGGAAACAAGGTAGGGAGGGAGAAGAAACTGAATGAATAAATGAATGAATGACACAGGAAGGAAGGAATGAAAGAAACAAAGAAAAGAGAGGGAAGGAAGGAGGGAGAGAGGGAGGGAGGAAGAAAGGAAGGAAGGAAAGAGGGATGGATGGATGGAAGGAAGGAAGGAAGGAAGGAAGAAAGAAACAAGGGAGGGAGGGAGAAGAAATTGAATGAATAAATGAATGAATGAGGCAGGAAGGAAGGAATGGAGGCAGGAAGCAAGGAAGGAAAGAAGGAAAGAAACAAAGAAAAGAGAGGGAAGGGGGGAGGGAGGAAGGAGAGAGGGAGGGAGGAAGGAAGGAAGGAAGGAAGGAAGGAAGGAAGGAAGGAAGGAAGGATGTTCCTGACCTGTCCAGGTAGGAGTTAAGACTAGGAGTTAAGGCTCCAAGAAAAAAAAAAACACCCAATTTAGATGCTTTTAAAGGATGGACTTTATTGCCCCGTGGGAAGAAAGACCCCCTAAAACAGAGACCTTATTTCTAGCACTGATGATGTTACCTAGTTGGGTCATGAGACGTCTGCATGAAAAGAAGCAAACGCTCAGCGTTCCCAGGACCCCTCATGTCAACTCTGAGCTACAGATCTTCTCCTTTATTATTATTATTATTATTATTATGATCATTTTCTGCTCTGGGTCAGGCAAGGGGCACCCAGAAGACCCCACCCCCAGGGCCATTTCCGCTTCCGTTGCACCTCTGGGAGGCCCACCCCTTTCTCCCCTGCAAACTCACCTTTCCTTATTGTCTCCTCCATCGGCCACACGTTCAGCCACGTGGACTCCTGACCCAAAGAGAAGGAGGAGCCGTGAGGAGGAGCAGGACTGACCCAACCTCAACCCCCATCCTCATGAACAACAAGGCTTCCCAGGTCCAATTCCAGCACCAGGCATCCCATCACCGGAGGCTTTTAAGAAGAGTTTGGTCACCCAGGGGTCTGGAATGGTATAGGAGCTCCTGTTTGAGCAGGGAGCTGGGCTAGAAGACCTCCCAAGTCCCCTCCAGCTCTCTGTTTCTCAATCGTGGCAACTTTAAGATGGGTGGACTTCAAGTCCCAGAATCCTCCAAGAGCAAAGCTGGCTGGGGAATTCTGGGACTTGGTCCACCTATCCTAAACCCTACCCTATCCTAACTTCCCTTCTCTTACCCTACCGAACCCTACCCTACCTTACTCTACCCAACCTTACTCTACACTACCCTACCCTACCCTACCCAACCCATCCAACCCTACTTACCCTACCCAACCCTACCCTACCCAGCCCTACTTACCCTACCCAACCCTACCCTACCTTACCCTACCCTACCCAACCCAT